GACTATATCTCTAGTCCATAGAAAGAAAATAGAATGTCTAATCTAAAGACAAGTCTGTTCACTAAATGGTCTTGATTACTATCTAGACTTATGGCTAATTTATAGCTTTTAAAGTACTTTTTTAAAGTATTTCTATGAACTATTCTATGAATTAGATTTTGAACTAGTATAATAACTACTCTGTGCACTAGTTTATTGTCTAGTTTATAAACTCTGTCGTCTATGGAATAGCTTATTACCTAGTCAATGGACTAGTACACTGACTAATGTACTTCCTTATTGATTACATGTAATTCAGTTTATTGACTTAAAAAGTCGATTAAATGCTTAATATGTATATCAAAAAAGTAAAACTTTTTACAAAATGATGTTTTGTACAATTTTAAAATTCCATTTGCCATCCCTGGTCTGCATCATATTAAACATCGTTACCTGACGATACTTTTTAATATGATGCAGTTTAAAAAAAAACTTAAATGTTCTGAGTTTCCAATTCATAGCGATTTGAAAAGGTTTCCTTTCATCTGTTCCTCTACTGATTACTGTTCTTTCTACTTACTATTTGTTGTCCATAATTATTTACAAACAAAATTTAATTAGTTGTAAAACAATAATAAAATTTAGTTTATTACAATTTAATGACCGCCTAAATAAAATGCTATAAAAATTCCCTCATATATATACAGGGGCCAAAGTTTAACCATCCCAGCAACATAAATACTCATACATTAATAAATACAGACAGACAATAATTGAGAATTATTTACATTATTTCATTGTTTTCTTCGTTTACTTTTTAGTTGCTCTCAAACATGTAAAAATGTGCGTATTCTCCACATTTGGAAATTTTGAGTAAAACATGAAAACAAAAAAACATTCTCACATAATTAAAGTTACAATTATTAAAAAACAAAATAAGAAATATTGAAGTATGTAATGAAAAGTATAATGAAAAACTTACAAATACACAAACATACATATGTAAATAAAGAGTATTATATATATTATATATTGTCATTATAAAAAAAACCAATTGGGCACACTTCAGTGAAATCATGTAGAAAATATTTTAATGTTTAAAAAGCTGAAGTATTGCAATTTTAAACCGGAAGGAAATTCAACACTAAATACTTATGTATGAACATACACCCATATTCATACATTTTACAGAATGCAGTCAGTCATATTTAATGGGGAGGTTTTTTCTTTTTGTCTTTTCTTTTCATCTTTAGGTGTTTCTTTTAGTCGATGCTTTTATTTTGTTATTCTTTTATATTGTTATTATATTATGCTTTGTTTTTGTCTAACAATTTCATTAACATTTCCGTATAATGTGACTCATTTTATGAATGTTCATACGGTACTAAGTGTACGATGAGTGTATGTATGTATGTATATCTGTCAGTTTGAAGTTTTTCCACAAAACTCCCTAATGTGTTGACCACAAAATGTATGGATTTATGAATGTTTTTAGGAAATGTACAATAATAACAACAACAGCTTAATTTATAAAAGACAATGGGATGTATAACGAAAAGGGGACTGACTGGAGTTTTATTAGAAATTTTTATTGGACAATATGTGATTAAGCAAAAATTTGTATTAATTTTTGTAGCAGTTTTCTGAAAAAAGGGAGTGTATCATTTACTTTTAGTAAATTTTTTTAATAATTTTTTAATTTATAAAAAACTTTCCTATAAATTGTCTGATTAATAAATTTTTTTTAGATAAATTTTCTATTTAATAGAATATTTTCAAAAATATTTTTGTTAATAGAAAATTTTCGATCAATTTTAATTGAAATATTTCGATAATTCTTAACTTCTATATAAGTTATCTTTTAATATTATAGTTTAGTTCGAATTTAGTTCTAGTTCAGTATTAGTTCAGTTCTAGATCAGTTCTAGTTCAGTTCTAGTTCAGTTCTAGTTCAGTTCTAGTTCAGTTCTAGTTCAGTTCTAGTTCAGTTCTAGTTCAGTTCTAATTCAGTTCTAGTTCAGTTCTAGTTCAGTTCTAGTTCAGTTCTAGTTCAGTTCTAGTTCAGTTCTAGTTCAGTTCTAGTTCAGTTCTAGTTCAGTTCTAGTTCAGTTCTAGTTCAGTTCTAGTTCAGTTCTAGTTCAGTTCTAGTTCAGTTCTAGTTCAGTTCTAGTTCAGTTCTAGTTCAGTTCTAGTTCAGTTCTAGTTCAGTTCTAGTTCAGTTCTAGTTCAGTTCTAGTTCAGTTCTAGTTCAGTTCTAGTTCAGTACTAGTTCAGTTCTAGTTCAGTTCTAGTTCAGTTCTAGTTCAGTTCTAGTTCAGTTCTAGTTCAGTTCTAGTTCAGTTCTAGTTCAGTTCTAGTTCAGTTCTAGTTCAGTTCTAGTTCAGTTCTAGTTCAGTTCTAGTTCAGTTCTAGTTCAGTTCTAGTTCAGTTCTAGTTCAGTTCTAGTTCAGTTCTAGTTCAGTTCTAGTTCAGTTCTAGTTCAGTTTTAGTTCAGTTCTAGTTCAGTTCTAGTCCAGTTCTAGTTCTAGTTCAGTTCTAGTTTAGTTCAGTTCAGTTCTAGTTCAGTTCTAGTTCAATTCTAGTTCAATTCTAGTTCAATTCTAGTTCAATTCTAGTTCAATTCTAGTTCAGTTCTAGTTCTGTTCTAGTTTTTTTCTAGTTCTGTTCTAGTTCTGTTCTAGTTCTGTTTTAGTTCTGTTTTAGTTCTGTTCTAGTTCTGTTCTAGTTCTGTTCTAGTTCTGTTCTAGTTCTGTTCTAGTTCTGTCCTGTTCTGTTCTAGTTCTGTTCTAGTTCTGTTCTGTTCTGTTCTAGTTCTGTTCTGTTCTAGTTCTGTTCTGTTCTGTTCTGTTCTAGTTCTGTTCTGTTCTAGTTCTGTTCTAGTTCTGTTCTAGTTCTGTTCTAGTTCTGTTCTAGTTCTAGTTCTGTTCTAGTTCTGTTCTGTTCTAGTTCTGTTCTAGTTCTGTTCTAGTTCTGTTCTAGTTCTGTTCTAGTTCTGTTCTAGTTATGTTCTGTTCTAGTTCTGTTCTGATCTAGTTCTGTTCTAGTTCTGTTATAGTTCTGTTATAGTTCTGTTCTAGTTCTGTTCTAGTTCTGTTCTAGTTCTGTTCTAGTTCTGTTCTAGTTCTGTTCTAGTTCTGTTCTAGTTCTGTTCTAGTTCTGTTCTAGTTCTGTTCTAGTTCTGTTCTAGTTCTGTTCTAGTTCAGTTCTAGTTTAGTTCAGTTCTAGTTCAGTTCTAGTTCAATTCTAGGTCAGTTCTAGTTCAGTTCTAGTTCTGTTCTAGTTCTGTTCTAGTTCTGTTCTAGTTCTGTTCTAGTGTTCTAGTTCTGTTCTAGTTCTGTTCTAGTTCTGTTCTAGTTCTGTTCTAGTTCTGTTCTAGTTCTGTTCTAGTTCTGTTCTAGTTCTGTTCTAGTTCTGTTCTAGTTCTAGTTCTGTTCTAGTTCTGTTCTAGTTCAGTTCTAGTTCAGTTCTAGTTTAGTTCAGTTCTAGTTCAGTTCTAGTTCAATTCTAGGTCAGTTCTAGTTCAGTTCTAGTTCTGTTCTAGTTCTGTTCTAGTTCTGTTCTAGTTCTGTTCTAGTTCTGTTCTAGTTCTGTTCTAGTTCTGTTCTAGTTCTGTTCTAGTTCTGTTCTAGTTCTGTTCTAGTTCTGTTCTAGTTCTGTTCTAGTTCTGTTCTAGTTCTGTTCTAGTTCTGTTCTAATTCTGTTCTAGTTCTGTTCTAGTTCAGTTCTAGTTCAGTTCTAGTTATGTTCTAGTTATGTTCTAGTTCTGTTCTAGTTCTGTTCTAGTTCTGTTCTAGTTCTGTTCTAGTTCTGTTCTAGTTCTGTTCTAGTTCTGTTCTAGTTCTGTTCTAGTTCAGTTCTAGTTCAGTTCTAGTTCAGTTCTAGTTTAGTTCAGTTCAGTTCTAGTTCAGTTCTAGGTCAGTTCTAGTTCTGTTCTAGTTCTGTTCTAGTTCTGTTCTATTTCTGTTCTAGTTCTGTTCTAGTTATGTTCTAGTTCAGTTCTAGTTATGTTCTAGTTCTGTTCTAGTTCTGTTCTAGTTCTGTTGTAGTTCTGTTCTAGTACGGTTCTAGTTCTGTTCTAAGTCTGTTCTAAGTCTGTTCTAGTTCTGTTCTAGTTCTATTTTAGTTCTGTTCCAGTTCTGTTCTAAGTCTGTTCTAGTTCTTTTCTAGTTGTGTTTTAGTTCTCTTCTTATTCTGTTCAAGTTCCGTTTTACTTCTGTTCTAAGTTCTGTTTTAGATCTGTTCCAGTTCTATTCTAGTTCTTCAATTCTAGTTGATAGTGTTGATTTCGACTTGGTTATATCCTAAACTTTTTAATAAAACAAGTTCCATTTATTTCTGAATACTTATTTACATATATCTGCTAAACAATAAATTCGAGCAGATGTTGGAGAAATAAATCATTGTAAAAATTTAGTTTGACTTTCAATTTTAAAACTTGTTTTTACTTTAAACAATCGCAAAAAATTTTATTATTATTTAAGAGTTCATAAGATTTAAACAGCGGCCATTAAACCTGTTTATAAACGATTTCATTTTAATAAGTTTAATACATGCAATTCGTTGTTTTTAAAAAACTAATTTGTTAAATAAATATATATTTTTATAATTAACAATTTATTCACTTTCAAGGTTTACTTATTTAAAAATATAGTCAAATCAAAGTTTTAAAATAAAACCCATAATATTTGGAAAATTTTGTGTAAAGTTATTTTGTTTTAGGAATCAAATGGTTTGACTTTGAAGTTTAATTTTTATGAATTTGAAAAATTAACAGTTATTCCAAAATACTCTGCAAATTATTTTGAAATATTTAAATCACTTTGTAAATGTATGAAATTAAGATATTTATTATTATTAACAAAACAGTAATTAACAAAACAATCAACATCATTCTCATAATTAATAATACTAAATGTGATTTTATTGTATGTTTTGTCTCTTTTCTCTATTTTTCCATTTTTAAATGTTTTTACTACCACCATACCACACCACTACTACCACTACTACAATTCTACTCACAGTTATTTTGAATCCATCCGATTTTGATTATCTTCTAACAAAAGGCAATAATACTACACCAGTGGATCGTAGTTCATTGTTATTGAAATTTGATCCATTGCTCGGTGTACCAGTGCCAGTTAATCAGGGACAACAGCAACTACAACAATTACAAATACCAACTAATACTATTAATCCTTGTTTAAGTCCAACACTTGAAGAAGACGAACATAACGACAGTAATCGTTCATTTGTTATAGACACTAAAGCAACAGGCGGATTAGGCGGCTCATTAGCAACAGGAGGTGGAATAGCAGCTGCAGGTATAATAACCGGTACCAGTGCCAAATTATTGAAAGAAAGATCACAAGAAGTTAAACAGCAATTGCAGTTGGAACAACAGGTCCAACAAAATAAACGCCAATTAACACAAGGAGTAAACAAAGTAAGTTTAATATTATAAAAAATAAATATAATTTTATTACATTTCTAATTGTTTTTTCTTTTCGCTTTTGTTTTATTTCTCTTTTTTTAGAAGAATGCCACTATGAGTGTCGATGTGATTAAGGATATGAGTTTAGATAACGATTGTAATAAAACTTTTGAAAATTCCAAGTATGTTGTTGTATTTTTTTCTATATAGTACCATTTAATTGACCTTAACCTTGTGCTGTTACCATATTCATTTTCATGTTTGTTTCTTTTTCATTTTTAACTAAATAGTTCCACACAATCGGATGATAAACAGATCAACTATAAAATGGATGAACTTGAAAAGAAAATCAAAAATGAAGTGTAAGTGAAATTTATTGTTTACCTTTAATTTAGTATTCTATAGGTTCAATTTATTTTGTTTATATTATTCGGAACATGCCATTTTGTGTAGAGTGTATGTGAACACTGTTTCCCTAAAGAATTTCAATATCTTTGTACATAAGTATGAAACAAAACTCAGTTCTAGTTAAGTTCTAGTTCAATTCTAGTTCAGTTCTAGTTCAGTTCTAGTTCAGTTCTAGTTCAGTTCTAGTTCAGTTCTAGTTCAGTTCTAGTTCAATTCTAGTTCAGTTCTAGTTCAGTTCTAGTTCAGTTCTAGTTCAGTTCTATTTCAGTTCTAGTTCAGTTCTAGTTCAGTTCTAGTTCAGTTCTAGTTCAGTTCTAGTTCAGTTCTAGTTCAGTTCTAGTTCAGTTCTAGTTCAGTTCTAGTTCAGTTCTAGTTCAGTTCTAGTTCAGTTCTAGTTCAGTTCTAGTTCAGTTCTAGTTCAGTTCTAGTTCAGTTCTAGTTCAGTTCTAGTTCAGTTCTAGTTCAGTTCTAGTTCAGTTCTAGTTCAGTTCAGTTCTAGTTCAGTTCTAGTTCAGTTCTAGTTCAGTTCTAGTTCAGTTCTAGTTCATTTCTAGTTCAGTTCTGGTTTAGTTCTAGTTCAGTTCTAGTTCAGTTCTAGTTCAGTTCTAGATCAGTTCTAGTTCAGTTCTAGTTCAGTTCTAGTTCAGTTCTAGTTCTGGTTCAGTTCTAGTTCATTTCTAGATCAGTTCTAGACTTCTTCTGTATTGCCATATCCCTTTAAAGTGAGACACACTTTAGTTCAGTTCTAGTTCAATTCTAGTTCAGTTCTAGCTCAGTTCTAGTTCAGTTCTGGTTCAGTTCTGGTTCAGTTCTAGTTCAGTTCCATTGCAGTTCAGTTCTAGTTCAGTTCTTGTTCAGTTCTAGTTTAGTTCTAGTTCAATTCTATTTCAGCTCTAGTTCAGTTCTAGTTCAGTTCTAGTTCAGTTCTAGTTCAGTTCTAGTTCAGTTCTAGTTCAGTTCTAGTTCAGTTCTAGTTCAGTTCTAGTTCAGTTCTAGTTCAGTTCTAGTTCAGTTCTAGTTCAGTTCTAGTTCAGTTCTAGTTCAGTTCTATTCAGTTCTAGTTCAGTTCTAGTTCAGTTCTAGTTCAGTTCTAGTTCAGTTCTAGTTCAGTTCTAGTTCAGTTCTATTTCAGTTCTAGTTCAGTTCTAGTTCAGTTCTAGTTCAGTTCTAGTTCAGTTCTAGTTCAGTTCTAGTTCAGTTCTAGTTCAGTTCTAGTTCAGTTCTAGTTCAGTTCTAGTTCAGTTCTAGTTCAGTTCTAGTTCAGTTCTAGTTCAGTTCTAGTTCAGTTCTAGTTCAGTTCTAGTTCAGTTCAGTACTAGTTCAGTACTAGTTCAGTACTAGTTCAGTTCTATTTCAGTTCTAGTTCAGTTCTAGTTCAGTTCTAGTTCAGTTCTACTTCAGTTCTAGTTCAGTTCTAGTTCAGTTCTTATTCAGTTTTAGTTCAGTTCTAGTTCAGTTCTAGTTCAGTTCAGTTCCAATTCAGTTCTTGTGCAGTTCTAGTTCATTTCTAGTTCAATTCTAGTTCAGTTCTATTTCATTTCTATTTCAGTTCTAGTTCTGTTCTATTTGACTTCTAGTTCAGTTTTAGTTTAGTTCCAGCTCAGATCTAGTTCATTTCTAAATCAGTTCTAGACTTCTTCTTTTATATTGGCATATGCCTTTAAAGTGAGACAAACTTTTCCCTTGATCTTAAAAGGAAGAAAGTCTAATGAGAAAATATAATTATTGAAAATCAACAGGTATTTTTATAGTCACAAATTTCTTTAAACTCTCGTTTATATGTAAATACATTTTACTAAACTTTTAAAACATTTCAAAAAGCCATAAGACTAAATGGAACTTCTTTCTTACAGATACAATACAAGCAAAATCAACAAAATTAATTAAATAAAAACCCACTCAATTAAAACTTTTAAATAAAACAACCTTCTTACATTATAAGAAAAGAAATAATAATTATTGTTAGTAATTTATGGTAAATTTTTTTGGCATTAGAAACTGTGTACAATGCAATAAACACCACACACTAAATGTTCACTATTTTGTTCAAACAAATAAATAAAATGAATCATTATTGATTTTTTTTACAGTTTCCTCCCCATTTAAAACAAAAAAAAAATACAGAAAATCTTTATTGAAACAACAGCAACAACAAAACTTGTTGATTTGTTATATTTAGAAAAAGAATTTTCCTTGCACAAATTCATAAAAATATCTGTATACATTCCTTACATTTTCTTTTATTTTTAGTCTTAAAACAGAAGATATTGAAAAGAAACTTAAAGATGCTGAACAAAGGGAGGAGGCTTTAATCAAACGTATCACAGAAAAAGACAAAACAATAGCAAAAATGACGTGAGTTTTAAAGTTAAATTTAAATATTTTGTAAATTTATTAAAACAAATATGGTTTTTTGTTTTGTAGAGGTGTTATTGAAGCCTATGAAAAAGCCATAGCTGAATTAATTGCCGATAAAGAGCAATTAACACAACACTATGAAAAACAATTGGCTGAAGTTAAGGCCGATCGCGATTCAAATTATCATCATTTAACATCACTGGAAACAACATTTTCCGATTTGCATGTGTAAGTATTAATATAATTTTCTTGAACTTTAATTGAAAGATTTTTTAAATTTTTGTTATGTTTTTTTATTTGATTTATAGAAAATATGAAAAGAGCAAAGAAATGACCTGCCAATTAAAAGAAAGCGAAGAAGCTTTACAAGCTGAAAAACGCAAGAATTTAGAAAACCTACATTTACAGGAACAACGATATGACAAAATGAAAAATCATGCAATGCAACAATTGGAAATGTAAGTGAATAGTTTTATTTCATTAAAACAGTTTAAGAGTTTCTAGTCTATAGTCTAGTATAAAGTCTAATCTATAGTCTAGTGTATAGTATAGTCTATAGTCTAGTCCATAGTTTAGTCCATAGTCTAGTCTAAAATCTAGTCTAGTCTATAGTCTAGTCTATAGTCAAGTATAGTCTACAATCTATAATCTAGTCTATAGTCTAGTCTATAGCCTAGTCTATATTCTAGTCTATAGTCTAATCTATAGCCTAGTCTATATTCTAGTCTATAGTCTAATCTATAGTCTAGGCTATAGTCTAGGCTATAGTCTAGTCTAAAGTCTAGTCTAAAGTCTAGTCTATAGTCTACTCCATAGTCTAGTATAGTCTACAGTCTATAAGATAGTCTATAAGATAGTCTATAAGATAGTCTATAGTCTAGTCTATAGTATATAGCCTAGTCTATAGTCTAATCTATAGTCTAATCTATAGTCTAGGCTCTAGTCTAGGCTATAGTCTAGGCTATAGTCTAGGCTATAGTCTAGGCTATAGTCTAGTCTATAGTCTAGTCTAAAGTTTAGTCAATAGTCCAGTCTAAAGTCTAGTCTAAAGTCTAGTCTAAAGTCTAGTCTAAAGTCTAGTCTATAGTCTAGTCTATTGTCTACTCTATAGTCTAGTATAGTCTACAGTCTATAATCTAGTCTATAGTATATAGCCTAGCCTATATTCTAGTCTATAGTCTAATCTATAGTCTAGGCTATAGTCTAAGCTATAGTCTAGTCTATAGTCTAGTCTAAAGTTTAGTCAATAGTCCAGTCTAAAGTCTAGTCTAAAGTCTAGTCTAAAGTCTAGTCTAAAGTCTAGTCTAAAGTCTAGTCTAAAGACTAGTCTAAAGTCTAGTCTAAAGTCTAGTCTAAAGACTAGTCTAAAGTCTAGTCTAAAGTCTAGTCTAAAGTCTAGTCTAAAGTCTAGTCTAAAGTCTAGTCTAAAGTCTAGTCTAAAGTATAGTCTAAAGTCTAGTCTAAAGTCTAGTCTATAGTCTAGTCTATAGTATAGTCTATATTCTACTCTATAGTCTAGTCTATAGTCTAGTTTATAGTCTAGTCTATAGTCTAGTCTATAGTCTAGTCTATAGTCTAGTCTATAGTCTAGTCTAAAGTCTAGTCTAAAGTCTAGTCTAAAGTCTAGTCTATAGTCTAGTCTAAAGTTTAGTCAATAGTCCAGTCTAAAGTCTAGTCTAAAGTCTAGTCTAAAGTCTAGTCTAAAGTCTAGTCTAAAGTCTATTCTAAAGTCTAGTCTAAAGTCTAGTTTAAAGTCTAGTCTAAAGTCTAGTCTAAAGTCTAGTCTAAAGTATAGTCTAAAGTCTATTCTAAAGTCTAGTCTAAAGTCTAGTCTAAAGTCTAGTCTAAAGTCTAGTCTAAAGTCTAGTCTAAAGTCTAGTCTAAAGTCTAGTCTAAAGTCTAGTCTAAAGTCTAGTCTAAAGTCTAGTCTAAAGTCTAGTCTAAAGTCTAGTCTAAAGTCTAGTCTAAAGTCTAGTCTAAAGTCTAGTCTAAAGTCTAGTCTAAAGTCTAGTCTAAAGTCTAGTCTAAAGTCTAGTCTAAAGTCTAGTCTAAAGTCTAGTCTATAGTCTAGTCTATAGTCTAGTCTATAGTCTAGTCTATAGTCTAGTCTATAGTCTAGTCTATAGTCTAGTCTATAGTCTAGTTTATAGTCTAGTCTATAGTCTAGTCTATAGTCTACTCTAGTCTATAGTCTAGTCTAAGCTATAGTCTAGTCTATAGTCTAGTCTATAGTTTAGTCTCTAGTGTAGTCTATAGTCTCGACTATATTCTAGTTTATATTCTACTCTATAGTCTAGTCTTTAGTTTAGCCCATAGTCTTGCTTATCGTCTTGTCTATTGTCTATTCTATAGTCTAATATTTAGTCTAGTCTATAGTATAGTCTAGTCTTGTCTATAGTCTGATCTAGAGTCTAAAGTCTAATCATTTCTATAAAATAACTAAATTTACAACAAAATAACTTCATTCTTATTGTCATTTTCAATAATTTCTTCTGTTTGTATTTCCTCTTTCCACAGCGCCAACAAAAAACTGGAATCTCTAACACGAGATCATTCAATAGAAATAACAAAACTGAAAGCCTTACTTAAAAAAGAAGAAATCGCCCGATCATCCATACATGAGCAATTGGCTCAGAAGACTAAAGAAAACGCTGAACTCGTTAAGATATGTGATGAACTCATCTCGGGGCAAGGAAGTTAAAGAGAAGGATCCATTTTTGTTTGATCCTGCTTTTCTTTATGAAACCCAATACAAAATTGAATGATATTTTTTCTTTTATTTTTATTTCTTATTTTTTTTTTAAATACTAATTATTTATTTAATGTTTTCTAATTTGTATTTTAGTTACCTAAATAAGAATGATTAAAACAAAAGAAATAATGAAAGAAAAGAAAAACCTGCAAAAACACACACTCAATAAAAAAGCGCACACACAAAAAAAGAAAATCCTTAAAAAAAACAAACGAAAGAAAACAACCAAAAAATTCCTCAAATAATTAATTAATTTTTATATTAATTTAATAAATTTGTTTTGTTTTTTTGTTGTTGTTGTTTTAGAAGAGCAACCGGTTGTGTTTCTTTTAAAAAAAGGCGCTTTAATTTAATGTTTGTTTTTATTTGTTCAGAGAGAAGATTTAAACAAAAATTTAATAAAACTCAACTCATTAAATATAATGTTATTTTAAGTAACAAATAATAATAATAATTAATAATATTAATAAAAGGAAACAAATACAAAAAAGAATAAAAACAACAAGTAATACTTTATTCATTTAAACTAAGCAAAAAAGGTACTTTTACACGTACATTTAAAATCCCATTAAAATACTCTTAAGAGAGTGAGTGAAGTTAAAAGCAAAGAAAGAAAGAATGCAAGAAAGTTATGTAGAATGCTAAAATCGTTAACAGTCACATACATACACAAGTTAATTTTATGTTTTTTTATATATAAATAAAAAAAATAATTATAATTTTCAATTCTTTTTATTGTATTATTTGCTGCTAAAATTTACTTTAGTTTTCTTTTTTACTTCCTGTTTTTATTTAGACTGTTGAGTTTGTTTACACAAAGAAACTGTTAATTTTTATTATAAAAAATATTTTGTTTTTTTAACATAGAGCTAAAACAAAAACAACTTTTATCAAAAGCTGTTTTCTATTCCCTAATAAATAATTTATTTTCCTTCTTTTTTCATACGTTTTTTTAGTTTAACATTTATTTTAACATATTTTTTTGTAAACGCTGTATTTTAGTTAAGTTTAAAATTATTAAAACAAACAAATATAATTAATACTAAAAAAACAAATTGATTAATAAAACAATTTATAATAAAACAACAAATATGAATGTAATGAAAAAACCTATATTTTATTAAAAAAAATGATTTATTTCGCACTTAAATTTTTAATTTTCAAAATATCTTAAGAAGTTTGAATTGTAAATTTGTTGATGGAAAATTTTGTGAAGAAAAGTGCCGCTGAAGCTCACTGATTGCACACAGAATCATATCGGTTTCAATATGAGAGAATTGGTTTGAGATTTTGTATTTTACATGGAATACAATGCCCAAAGCAGCCCAAAAGTTTGAAAATCAAGAATTTTAGGAATTACTGAAGATTGTTGTCATAATAAGCAAAACTCTATAAAAAGGAAATCATTAATCCAGTACGATAACATAAGAAATTATATGCAAAGACTGGCCAAAGCCAAATACCAATGGCGCTAAAGTAAGGCTCTGTATTTGGTGGAACGCAAAAGGTATTGTATATTATGAGCTGCCGAAATATGATCTGACTATTATAGAAAACCTGTACCAAGTGCAACAGATTCGTTTGAAGCGATCATTGTTCAAATAACGTCGATAATTTGCGGCCGGGCAAAGCATATTCTGTATACATAAATAGTTACTTCAGACTACGCTGCCTTGAACTTCCTGAAAAGGCACTGCATTCGTTTTGTAGTCTTATTCAGTTCTAATAGAATTCTAGTTGCGTTCTAGTTCGGTTCAAGATCAGTCCTAGTTCAGTTCTAATTCAGTTCTAGTTCAGTTTTAGTTCAGTTCAAGTTTAGTTCAAGTTTAGTTCTAGCTCAGTTCTAGTTCAATTCTTGTTTAGGTCTAGTTCAGTTCTAGTTTAGTTCAGTTCTAGTTCAGATCTAGTTCAGTTCTAGTTCAGGGGCCAAATTCTGGCATTCGAAAGCGAACTAAATTTCTAATAAAATTTTTTGCAATTCTATTGAGGTTTCGTTCGATATCGAATGCCAGAATTTGCGCCCTGTTCTAGTCCAGTTCTATAGTCTATTTCTGGTTCTTTTTTTGTTCGAGTTAAGTTCTAATTCAGTTCTAGTTAAGTTCTAATTCTAAACTAGCTCTGTTCTAGATTATTTCTGGGCCCAAATTACGGCATACGATATCGATCGAAATCTCAATAGAATCTAAATGGAGATTTCGATCGATATCGTATTCCATAATTTGGGTCCTGGATCAGTTCAAAGTTCAGTTCTAATTCAATACTAGTTCAGTTCTACATCTGTTCTAGTTCAGTTAGACTTCAAGATCTACTTCAGTTCTACTTCGGTTCTAGTTTAGTTCTTCTTCAGATCTAGATCAGTTTACATTCAATTCGAATTCAATTTTAATTTATTTTTAGTTCAGTTCAAGTTCAATTCTCCTTCAGTTCTACCTCAATTCTAGTGCAATTCTAGCTCAGTTTTAATTCAGTTCTACTTAAGTTCTGTTTCTTTTTTTATTCAAGTTAAGTTCTAATTCAGTTCTAATTCTGATCTAGCTCTTTAGTTCTAGTACATTTCTAATTCAGGATCAAGTTCAATTCTAGTTTAGTTCTAATTTAACTTTAATTCAATTCTACTTCAGTTTTTGTTCAGTTCTAGTTCACTTTTATTTCAGTTCAGTTCTAGTTCAGATCTAGTCCAGTTCTCGTTCAGTTCTAGTTCAGTTCTAGTTCAGTTCTAGTTCAGTTCTAGTTCAGTTCTAGTTCAGTTCTAGTTCAGTTCTAGTTCGGTTCTAGTTCAGTTCTAGTTCAGTTCTAGTTCAGTTCTAGTTCAGTTCTAGTTCAGTTCTAGTTCAGTACTAGTTCAGTTCTAGTTCAGTTCTAGTTGAGTTCTAGTTGAGTTTTAGTTCAGTTCTACTTCAGTTTTAGTTCAGTTCTAGTTCAGTTCTAGTTCAGTTCTAGTTCAGTTCTAGTTCAGTTCTAGTTCAGTTCTAGTTCAGTTCTAGTTCAGTTCTAGTTGAGTTCTAGTGGAGTTTTATTTCAGTTCTAGTTATAGTTCAGTTCTTGTTCAGTTCTAGTTCAATTCTAGTTCAGTTCTAGTTCAGTTCTAGTTCGATTCCAGTTCTAGTTCAGTTCTAGTTCGATTCCAGTTCTAGTTCAGTTCTAGTTCAGTTCTAGTTGAGTTTTAGTTCAGTTCTAGTTCAGTTCTAGATGAGTTCTACTTCAGTTCCTATAAGGAATGAATTCGTTTTGCAATTTTTAATCGATAATAATAGCTTTTTATATTTGATGATTTGCTTTTTAAAAGTTTCGGTATTTGGGTGGAATGCCAAATATAGTCCGAAAACTTATTTATAATATAATTTATTATAAATTTGTCCATAATTTACAACTAGAAACTAAAGAAAATCTCTTTTTCACTTTCAACTATTTAAACCAAAGGTAAACAAACATTTTCACTATAACTATTTTCCATTTCATTTGTTATTTTCGTCATTAAGCGTCTTATATACATATGTATTTATAAACTAATTTTCCATTTCATGTTCTACAACTTTCCTCCATTTTCAATCTAACTTTTGGAATATTTTCCTGCAATTAATTTTCATTTCAGTTTTTCTTATTCCTGTCTAATGCTAATATGTCAATAATGGAAAAAACTGAAATTTTCTTTTCTAAATAAAAACTGCAATTAAATGCACGCCATATGACTTTTTTACGACCATCATTATTTGCCATTTTTATGAAGAGTTTGTTTATTGTTTACTTTTTAGTGTTTCCCAGAATTTCGCTTTCATTTTAATAGGAGTTAAAACAAAAATGAAAGTTTAGTAAATTCTTAACACAAAATTTTTATTATGTGGTTCAAATAAAGTTTGTATAAAACTAAAACTATAAAAGAAATTAAAAACCAATTTAAAATATAAAAAAATGTTTTTTATAAAAGAAAAATTATTTAGAATTGGAAATTGCAAATGAAAATGAAAGAAAAAAGAAAATTAAAAATGAATACAAAAGGGTGTAATATAAAGAAATTTAAATAAAATTTTTTCTAAAAAATCAATATTACATTCTTTTTTCATAAGCTCCACTTAAATTTTAAGATAAACTGTATGTATAATTTGTTGCTTTCTTCTTGTATCTAAATAAATACATAATACTAAACTAAACATAAAGACTTATTTAAACTTATACTATGTAAATTATTATTGACACAAATAATTTTTATTTAAAATATTGAAAACAAATTTTAAAAAATCTCGTTTATTTTGACAAAAAATATCAATCATTTATTAAAAAAAAAACTACATTTAATCTAAAAAACTAAATTAATTAAACAAAACACACACATTCATCTCATCCAAAACACACTGTACATTTTTGAAAACTCTCTCTCTCTCTATATATCTCTCTTTTAAAATACTTCTTAGTACAGCTTTGTTAAAATCATGATCATAATTAACATAAACAAAATCCTTGAAAACACAATAACCTCCTCATTCTCCTCTTCCTATTTATAAAAGGAAAAGTTGTTAAAGTTTATAAATAATAATAAAAAAAAACAAAACAAATTCTCCCGCAAGAAATTAAACAAATTAAAAATTAATTAAACTAACAAAGAAAAAACAAAACACAATAAAAAAACTATATTTTTTTAGCAAATTAAAATGAAAATTAAAAGGAAAAAAAACAAACACACTAAACCTAAAATATCCTAAAAACATTTTGTAAATTTCATTTGCTTTTTAGATGATCTTTTACTTAAATTAAGCATAAAATAAAAATAAAAAAATAAAACAAAATGTCCTCTTTAGATTAATTTTGAAAACCTTTATGAATGTATGACAAGACAGGTAAACTAAACTCCATTTTAAATTAATATTTGTTTTCTTCTAGAAGCATTTAGTATTTACTCCCTTAAATGTAATTGTAACTTAAATTATAATTTGATTACTTATTGAAATAGAAAGGATTATTTTAGTTTATAAAACAATAATTAAAAAAAGTAAATAGCAAGATCGTAACATTTATAAAAAAATATTTAAATAAAAAACGAAATAAAAACGTTAAATATTGTATGTATGTATTCAAAGAAAGAACATTAAACATGACAAAGATGAAAAAACCAATAAAGAAGAAACAACCTCGATTGAGAGTAAAAAAAATACAGAAATTAATTATAATTAATAAAAATTATTACATTATATACTAAATTATTATGTGTTTTAATTTAATATACATATTTCTGCAGCCACATATGTAAGTAATTCTGATCGGAATAGTTTCAATTCGGGAATTCATTCCTTTTTGAAAGAGAAATTACATCTCGTTAAAGTTTTCCAGGAAAAGTAATACGACATTTTCTATTTCAAATTATACTGAAAAATTAACTGAACTGAACTAGAATAGAATTGTATAACAACTCAACTGGAACTGAACTAGAACTGAAGTGGAACTAAACTATGTAGAACTAAATTACAACTGAACTAGTGCCGAACTAGAAGGGAACTAAAACTGAACTAGAACTAAACTAGATATGAACTAGAACCGAAATGGAACTATATTAGAACTTTACTATAACTAAACTAGAACTGAATTAGAACGGAACTAGAATTGAGCTAGAACTAAACTAGAAATGAGTTATAACTGAACGAGAACATATGTAAATATAATTGAACTGGTACCGAACTAGAACTGAACTGGAACTGAACTAGAATTGAGCTAGAACTGAACTAAAACTGAACTAGAACTGAACTATTACTGAACTGGAGCTGAATTAGAACAGAACTAGAAGCGAAATAGAAATGAACAAGATATGAACTAGAACTGAACTGATCTAGAACTGAACTAGAACTGAACTAGAACTGAAATAGAACTGAACTAGACCTGAACTAGAACTGAACTAGAACTGAACTAGAACTGAACTAAACTAGAACTGAACTAGAACTGAACTGGAGCTGAATTAGAACAGAACTAGAACCGAAATAGAAATGAACAAGATATGAACTAGAACTGAACTAGAACTGAACTAGAACTGAACTAGAACTGAACTAGAACTGAACTAGAACTGAACTAGAACTGAACTAGAACTGAACTAGAACTGAACTAGAACTGAACTAGAACTGAACTAGAACTGAACTAGAACTAAACTAGAACTGAACTAGAACTGGTCTAAAACTAAACTAGAACTGTATTGGAACTGAACTACATCTTAAATATAACTGAACTAGAACCGAACTAAAACGGTAGGTTAGTAGTTAGTGTTCTAGTCTGGTAGAACGGAGGTGGTGTGTTCGATTCCCACCTGAGGCACTGGTAAAGGAGCTTACAACTGGTCCGATAAAACCCAACTAGAACAGAATTGGAACTGAACTAGAATGGAGCTAGAACTGAAGTGGAACTAAACGAGAATTGAATTAGAAATTAACTTCAACTTAATTAGAACTGAATAGGAACTAGAACAGAGTTAGAATTGAACTAGAACGGATATAGAACTGAAACCTAATTAAAATTGTACAAGAACTTAACTAAAATTGAATAGATTTCTTTTACACAAAATAATCACTTTATTTTTTACTTTTTTAGCAAATAAAGAAAATATTCAAAAAATAAATGCAATAATATCGGTAAGTAAACTTCCCACTTTTTATCTGGGACACATGGCATGACGTCCACCATCAACGGCCAAACTGACACCAGTAGTGAAAGTAGCCAAATCACTGGCCAGGAAACAAATAGCATTAGCTACTTCATCAGCCGTACCGGGACGTCCCAACGCATGAGTGTTTTTGGAGTGTTCCAAAAATTTATGGTAAATTTTTTTGGCATTAGAAACTGTGTACAATGCAATAAACACCACACACTACATGTTCACTATTTTGTTCAAACAAATAAATAAAATGAATCATTATTGATTTTTTTTACAGTTTCCTCCCCATTTAAAACAAAAAAAAAATACAGAAAATCTTTATTGAAACAACAGCAACAACAAAACTTGTTGATTTGTTATATTTAGAAAAAGAATTTTCCTTGCACAAATTCATAATAATATCTGTATACATTCCTTACATTTTCTTTTATTTTTAGTCTTAAAACAGAAGATATTGAAAAGAAACTTAAAGATGCTGAACAAAGGGAGGAGGCTTTAATCAAACGTATCACAGAAAAAGACAAAACAATAGCAAAAATGACGTGAGTTTTAAACATAAATTTAAATATTTTGTAAATTTATTAAAACAAATATGGTTTTTTGTTTTGTAGAGGTGTTATTGAAGCCTATGAAAAAGCCATAGCTGAATTAATTGCCGATAAAGAGCAATTAACACAACACTATGAAAAACAATTGGCTGAAGTTAAGGCCGATCGCGATTCAAATTATCATCATTTAACATCACTGGAAACAACATTTTCCGATTTGCATGTGTAAGTATTAATATAATTTTCTTGAACTTTAATTGAAAGATTTTTTAAATTTTTGTTATGTTTTTTTATTTGATTTATAGAAAATATGAAAAGAGCAAAGAAATGACCTGCCAATTAAAAGAAAGCGAAGAAGCTTTACAAGCTGAAAAACGCAAGAATTTAGAAAACCTACATTTACAGGAACAACGATATGACAAAATGAAAAATCATGCAATGCAACAATTGGAAATGTAAGTGAATAGTTTGATTTCATTAAAACAGTTTAAGAGTTTCTAGTCTATAGTCTAGACTAGACTATAGTCTATTGACTAAACTTTAGACTAGACTTTATACTAGACTATAGACTTGACTATAGACTAGACTTTAGACTAGACTATTGACTAGACTATAGAATAGACTATAGACTAGACTATAGTCTAGACTAGACTATAGACTAGACTATAGTCTAGACTAGACTATAGACTAGACTATAGACTAGACTATAGACTAGATCGTAGACTAGATCATAGACTAGACTATAGACTAGACTATAGACTAGACTATTGACTAGACTATAGAATAGACTATAGACTAGACTATAGACTAGACTATAGATTAGACTATAGACTACACTTAAGACTAGACTTTAGACTAGACTATAGACTAGACTATTGGCTAGACTTTAGACTAGACTATTGACTATAGACTAGACTATAGACTAGACTATTGACTAGACTATTGACTATAGACTAGACTTTAGACTAGACTATAGACTTGACTATAGATTAGATCATAGACTAGATCATACACTAGATTATAGACTAGACTTTAGACTAGACTTTAGACTAGACTTTAGACTAGACTTTAGACTAGACTTTAGACTAGACTTTACACTAGACTTTAGACTAGACTTAAGACTGGACTATTGACTAAACTTAGACTAGTCTATAGTCTAGTCTATAGTCTAGTCTATAGTCTAGTCTATAGTCTAGTCTATAGTCTAGTCTATAGTCTAGTCTATAGTCTAGTCTATAGTCTAGTCTATAGTCTAGTCTATAGTCTAGTCTATAGTCTAGTCTATAGTCTAGTCTATAGTCTAGTCTAGTCTAGTCTATCTAGTCTATAGTCTATTATAGTCTAGTCAATAGTCTAGTCTATAGTCTAGTCTATAGTCTAGTCTATGATCTAGTCTACGATCTAGTCTATAGTCTAGTCTATAGTCTATTCTATAGTCTAGTCAATAGTCTAGTCTAAAGTCTAGTCTATAGTCAAGTCTATAATCTAGTCTAAAGTCTAGTCTAGACTATAGTCTAGTCTATAGTCTATTCTATAGTCTAGTCAATAGTCTAGTCTAAAGTCTAGTCTATAGTCAAGTCTATAATCTAGTCTAAAGTCTAGTCTAAAGTTTAGTCAATAGTCTAGTCTATAGCCTAGTCTATAGTCTAGTCTATAATCTAGTCTATGATCTAGTCTATGATCTAATCTATAGTCAAGTCTATAGTCTAGTCTAAAGTCTAGTCTATAGTCAATAGTCTAGTCAACAGTCTAGTCTATAGTCAATAGTCTAAAGTCTAGTCTATAGTCTAGTCTAAAGTCTAGTCAATAGTCTAGTCTATAGTCTAGTCTAAAGTCTAGTCTTAAGTCTAGTCTAAAGTCTAGTCTTAAGTCTAGTCTATAGTCTAGTCTATAGTCTAGTCTATAGTCTAATCTATAGTCTAGTCTATAGTCTAGTCTATAGTCTAGTCTATAGTCTAGTCTATAATCTAGTCTATAGTCTAGTCTATAGTCTAGTCTATAGTCTAGTCTATAGTCTAGTCTATAGTCTAGTCTATAGTCTAGTCTATAGTCTAGTCTATAGTCTAGTCTATAGTCTAGTCTATAGTCTAGTCTATAGTCTAGTCTATAGTCTAGTCTATAGTCTAGTCTATAGTCTAGTCTATAGTCTAGTCTATAGTCTAGTCTATAGTCTAGTTTATAGTCTAGTTTATAGTCTAGTCTATAGTCTAGTCTATAGTCTAGTCTATTGTCTAGTCTATAGTCTAGTTTATAGTCTAGTCTATAGTCTAGTCTATAGTCTAGTCTATTGTCTAGTCTATAGTCTAGTCTATGGTCTAGTCTATAGTCTAGTCTATAGTCTAGTCTATAGTCTAGTCTACAGTCTAATCTATAGTCTAGTCTAAAGTTTAGTCAATAGTCCAGTCTACAGTCTAGTCTATAGTCTAGTCTAAAGTCTAGTCTAAAGTCTAGTCTAAAGTCTAGTCTAAAGTCTAGTCTAAAGTCTAGTCTAAAGTCTAGTCTAAAGTCTAGTCTAAAGTCTAGTCTAAAGTCTAGTCTAAAGTCTAGTCTAAAGTCTAGTCTAAAGTCTAGTCAAAAGTCTAGTCTAAAGTCTAGTCTAAAGTCTAGTCTAAAGTCTAGTCTATAGTCTAGTCTAAAGTCTAGTCTATAGTCTAGCCTATAGTCTAGTCTATAGTCTAGTCTAGTCTATAGTCTAGTCTAGTCTAGTCTAGTCTATAGTCTAGTCTAGTCTATAGTCTAGTCTATAGTCTAGTCTAGTCTATAGTTTAGTCTATAGTTTAGTCTAGTTTAGTCTATAGTTTAGTCTATAGTTTAGTCTATAGTCTAGTCTATAGTCTAGTCTATAGTCTAGTCTATAGTATATAGTCTAGTCTATATTCTAGTCTATAGTCTGATCCACAGTCTAGTGTAAAGTATAATAATTTCTATAAAATGACTAAATGTACAACAAAATTACATCATTCTTATTGTCATTTCCAATAATTTCTTCAATTTGTTATCCCTCTTCCACAGCGCCAACAAAAAACTGGAATCTCTAACACGAGATCATTCAATAGAAATAACAAAACTGAAAGCCTTACTTAAAAAAGAAGAAATCGCCCGATCATCCATACATGAGCAATTGGCTCAGAAGACTAAAGAAAACGCTGAACTCGTTAAGATATGTGATGAACTCATCTCGGGGCAAGGAAGTTAAAGAGAAGGATCCATTTTTGTTTGATCCTGCTTTTCTTTATGAAACCCAATACAAAATTGAATGATATTTTTTCTTTTATTTTTATTTCTTTTTCTTATTTTTTTTAAATACTAATTATTTATTTAATGTTTTCTAATTTGTATTTTAGTTACCTAAATAAGAATGATTAAAACAAAAGAAATAATGAAAGAAAAGAAAAAACCTGCAAAAACACACACTCAATAAAAAAAGCGCACACACAAAAAAAGAAAATCCTTAAAAAAACAAACGAAAGAAAACAACCAAAAAATTCCTCAAATAATTAATTAATTTTTATATTAATTTAATAAATTTGTTTTGTTTTTTGTTGTTGTTGGTTTAGAAAAGCAACCGGTTGTGTTTCTTTAAAAAAAAGGCGCTTTAATTTAATGTTTGTTTTTATTTGTTCAGAGAGAAGATTTAAACAAAAATTTAATAAAACTCAACTCATTAAATATAATGTTATTTTAAGTAACAAATAATTAATAATATTAATAAAAGAAAACAAATACAAAAAAGAATAAAAACAACAAGTAATACTTTATTCATTTAAACTAAGCAAAAAAAGGTACTTTTACACGTACATTTAAAATCCCATTAAAATACTCTTAAGAGAGTGAGTGAAGTTAAAAGCAAAGAAAGAAAGAATGCAAGAAATCGTTAACAGTCACATACATACACAAGTTAATTTTATGTTTTTTTTATATATAAATAAAAAAAATAATTATAATTTTCAATTCTTTTTATTGTATTATTTGCTGCTAAAATTTATTTTAGTTTTCTTTTTTTATTTCCTGTTTTTATTTAGACTGTTGAGTTTGTTTACACAAAGAAACTGTTAATTTTTATTATAAAAAATATTTTGTTTTTTTAACATAGAGCTAAAACAAAAACAACTTTTATCAAAAGCTGTTTTCTATTCCCTAATAAATAATTTATTTTCCTTCTTTTTTTCATACGTTTTTTTAGTTTAACATTTAATTTAACATATGTTTTTGTAAACGCTGTATTTTAGTTAAGTTTAAAATTATTAAAACAAACAAATATAATTAATACTAAAAAAACAAATTGATTAATAAAACAATTTATAATAAAACAACAAATATGAATGTAATGAAGAAACCTATATTTTATTTTATTAAAAAAATGTTTTTTTTCGCACTTAAATTTGAAATTTTCAAAATGTTTAAAACTCAGAATATTTAAATTCGTTAATGGAAAATGTAAGAATGAATGTGTCTAATAAAATATTAACAGTTTTTGTAAAGGAAAATGCCGCTGAAGCTCACCGATTGCTCACAGAATCATATCGGTTTCAATATTCGAGAATTGGTTTTTGAAATTTTAGAAGTGACGTTTTTTGCACGGAATACAAGCTCGCCCAAAGCAGCCCAAAAATGTTTGAAAATCAAGAATTTTAGGAATTACTGAGGATTGTTGTCATAATAAGCCAAATCTTACAAAACTATTGGGAGCTACTCAAGCAACAATTTTAAAGCGTTTGCAAGCTACAGGAATCATTTGTTCCTAATAATGTTTGAACGCTATGAAAAGAAAATCATTAATCGAGTACGATAACATTGGTAATCATATGTAATGGCCAGCCGAATCAACACCAAGGCGAAATATATACCAATAGCGCTATTGGTGGAACGCAAAATGTGTTGTATATTATGAGCTGCCGAAATCTGACTATTATAGGGAACCTGTATCAAATGCAACAGATTCGTTTAAAGCGATCATTGTCCGAATATACGGCCGGTCAAAGCATATTCTGTATACATAAATAGTTACTTCAGACTACGCTGCGTTGAAAGTCTTCAAAAGGCACTATTCGTTTTGGAATTCTAGTTCTAATAAAATTTTAGCTGTGTTCCAATTCAGTTCAAGATAATTTCTAGTTCAGTTCCACATCAGTTGTAGTTTAGTTATACTTCGGATCTAGATCAGTTTTAGTTAAGTTTTAGTTTACTTCTTCTTCAGTTCTCGCTCGGTTCTAGTTTAGTTCTAGCTCAGTTCTCGTCTAGTTTTAGTTCAGCTTTGGTTCAGTTCTAGTTTAGTTCTATTTCAGTTCTAATTCAATTCTAGCTTAGCCTCCGTTGAGATCAGTTCAGTTATAGCTCTACTCTAGTTCAGTGCTTGTTCTGTTTTAGTTCAGATATAGTTTATTTCTGGTTCTTTTTTTGTTCAAGTTCTAATTCAATTCTAATTCTGAACTAGCTCTGTTCTAGATCATTTCTGGTTCAGTTCTAGTTCAGTACTAGTTCAGTTCATGCTCAGTTCTAGTTCAGATCTAGTTGAGTTCTAGTTCAGTTCAAAGTCAGATCTAGTTCAGTTTTAATTCAATACCAGTTCAGTTTCTACTTCTGTTCTAGTTCAATTCTAATTCAGTTCTAGTTCAGTTAGACTTCAAGATCTACTTCAGTTCTACATCAGTTCTAGTTTAGTTCTACTTCAGATCTAGATTAGTTTTAGTACAGTTCATGTTCACTTCTCCTTCAGTTCTACCTCAATTCTAGTGCAATTCTAGCTCTTTTTTAGTTCAGTTAAGTTCTAATTCTGATCTAGTTCAGTTCTAGTACATTTCTAATTCAGTTCTAATAACGATCAAGTTATATTCTAGTTTAGTTCTTCAGTTCTAGTTCACTTTTACTTTAGTTCAGTTCTAGTTCAGATCAGTTCTAGTTCAGTTCCAGATCAGTTCTAGTTCATTTCTAGTCAATTGCTAGTTAATTTCTAGTTCAGTTCTAGTTCAGTTCTAGATCAGTTTTAGTTCAGTTCTACTTCAGATCCTATAAGGAATGAATTCGTTTTGCAATTTTTGATCGGGAATAAGAGCTTTTTATATTTGGTGATTTGCTTTTTAAAAGTTTCGGTATTTGGGTGGAATCCCAAATAAAGTCCGATAACTTATTTATAATATAAACTAATATAGAAACTAAAGAAAACCTCTTTTTCACTTTCAGCTATTTAAACCAAAGGTATATTTCTTGCTACAAATATTTCCACTACAACTATTTTCCATTTCATTTGTTATTTTCGTCATTAAGCGTCTTATATATTTATAAACTAATTTTCCATTTCATGTTCTACAACTTTCCTCCATTTTCAATCTAAATTTTGGAATATTTTCCTGCAATTAATTTTCATTTCATGTCTAGTTTTTTCTTTATTCCTGTCTAACTCTAATATTTCGATAATGGAAAAAACTGAAATTTTCTTTTCTAAATAAAAACTGCAATTAAATGCACGCCATATGACTTTTTTACGACCGGTATTATTTGCCATTTTTATGAAGAGTTTGTTTATTTTACGTTTCTTTTTAGTGTTTCCCAGAATTTCGCTTTCATTTTAATAGGAGTTAAAACAAAAATGAAAGTTTAGTAAATTCTTAACACAAAATTTTTATTATGTGGTTCAAATAAAGTTTGTATAAAACTAAAACTATAAAAGAAATTAAAAACCAATTTAAAATATAAAAAAATGTTTTTTATAAAAGAAAAATTATTTAGAATTGGAAATAGAAAATGAAAATGAAAGAAAAAAGAAAATTAAAAATGAATACAAAAGGGTGTAATATAAAGAAATTTAAATAAAATTTTTTCTAAAAAATCAATATTACATTCTTTTTTCATAAGCTCCACTTAAATTTTAAGATAAACTGTATGTATAATTTGTTGCTTTCTTCTTGTATCTAAATAAATACATAATACTAAACTAAACATAAAGACTTATTTAAACTTATACTATGTAAATTATTATTGACACAAATAATTTTTATTTAAAATATTGAAAACAAATTTTAAAAAATCTCGTTTATTTTGACAAAAAATATCAATCATTTATTAAAAAAAAAACTACATTTAATCTAAAAAACTAAATTAATTAAACAAAACACACACATTCATCTCATCCAAAACACACTGTACATTTTTGAAAACTCTCTCTCTCTCTATATATCTCTCTTTTAAAATACTTCTTAGTACAGCTTTGTTAAAATCATGATCATAATTAACATAAACAAAATCCTTGAAAACACAATAACCTCCTCATTCTCCTCTTCCTATTTATAAAAGGAAAAGTTGTTAAAGTTTATAAATAATAATAAAAAAAAACAAAACAAATTCTCCCGCAAGAAATTAAACAAATTAAAAATTAATTAAACTAACAAAGAAAAAACAAAACACAATAAAAAAACTATATTTTTTTAGCAAATTAAAATGAAAATTAAAAGGAAAAAAAACAAACACACTAAACCTAAAATATCCTAAAAACATTTTGTAAATTTCATTTGCTTTTTAGATGATCTTTTACTTAAATTAAGCATAAAATAAAAATAAAAAAATAAAACAAAATGTCCTCTTTAGATTAATTTTGAAAACCTTTATGAATGTATGACAAGACAGGTAAACTAAACTCCATTTTAAATTAATATTTGTTTTCTTCTAGAAGCATTTAGTATTTACTCCCTTAAATGTAATTGTAACTTAAATTATAATTTGATTACTTATTGAAATAGAAAGGATTATTTTAGTTTATAAAACAATAATTAAAAAAAGTAAATAGCAAGATCGTAACATTTATAAAAAAATATTTAAATAAAAAACGAAATAAAAACGTTAAATATTGTATGTATGTATTCAAAGAAAGAACATTAAACATGACAAAGATGAAAAAACCAATAAAGAAGAAACAACCTCGATTGAGAGTAAAAAAAATACAGAAATTAATTATAATTAATAAAAATTATTACATTATATACTAAATTATTATGTGTTTTAATTTAATATACATATTTCTGCAGCCACATATGTAAGTAATTCTGATCGGAATAGTTTCAATTCGGGAATTCATTCCTTTTTGAAAGAGAAATTACATCTCGTTAAAGTTTTCCAGGAAAAGTAATACGACATTTTCTATTTCAAATTATACTGAAAAATTAACTGAACTGAACTAGAATAGAATTGTATAACAACTCAACTGGAACTGAACTAGAACTGAAGTGGAACTAAACTATGTAGAACTAAATTACAACTGAACTAGTGCCGAACTAGAAGGGAACTAAAACTGAACTAGAACTAAACTAGATATGAACTAGAACCGAAATGGAACTATATTAGAACTTTACTATAACTAAACTAGAACTGAATTAGAACGGAACTAGAATTGAGCTAGAACTAAACTAGAAATGAGTTATAACTGAACGAGAACATATGTAAATATAATTGAACTGGTACCGAACTAGAACTGAACTGGAACTGAACTAGAATTGAGCTAGAACTGAACTAAAACTGAACTAGAACTGAACTATTACTGAACTGGAGCTGAATTAGAACAGAACTAGAAGCGAAATAGAAATGAACAAGATATGAACTAGAACTGAACTGATCTAGAACTGAACTAGAACTGAACTAGAACTGAAATAGAACTGAACTAGACCTGAACTAGAACTGAACTAGAACTGAACTAGAACTGAACTAGAACTGAACTAGAACTGAACTAAACTAGAACTGAACTAGAACTGAACTGGAGCTGAATTAGAACAGAACTAGAACCGAAATAGAAATGAACAAGATATGAACTAGAACTGAACTAGAACTGAACTAGAACTGAACTAGAACTGAACTAGAACTGAACTAGAACTGAACTAGAACTGAACTAGAACTGAACTAGAACTGAACTAGAACTGAACTAGAACTGAACTAGAACTGAACTAGAACTGAACTAGAACTAAACTAGAACTGAACTAGAACTGGTCTAAAACTAAACTAGAACTGTATTGGAACTGAACTACATCTTAAATATAACTGAACTAGAACCGAACTAAAACGGTAGGTTAGTAGTTAGTGTTCTAGTCTGGTAGAACGGAGGTGGTGTGTTCGATTCCCACCTGAGGCACTGGTAAAGGAGCTTACAACTGGTCCGATAAAACCCAACTAGAACAGAATTGGAACTGAACTAGAATGGAGCTAGAACTGAAGTGGAACTAAACGAGAATTGAATTAGAAATTAACTTCAACTTAATTAGAACTGAATAGGAACTAGAACAGAGTTAGAATTGAACTAGAACGGATATAGAACTGAAACCTAATTAAAATTGTACAAGAACTTAACTAAAATTGAATAGATTTCTTTTACACAAAATAATCACTTTATTTTTTACTTTTTTAGCAAATAAAGAAAATATTCAAAAAATAAATGCAATAATATCGGTAAGTAAACTTCCCACTTTTTATCTGGGACACATGGCATGACGTCCACCATCAACGGCCAAACTGACACCAGTAGTGAAAGTAGCCAAATCACTGGCCAGGAAACAAATAGCATTAGCTACTTCATCAGCCGTACCGGGACGTCCCAACGCATGAGTGTTTTTGGAGTGTTCCAAAAATTTGGCATAAGTTTCAGCATCCATGCCGCCACGTTTGTGTAGATTAGTAACGGTGACACCAGGATTAACACAATTGGCACGCACGCCCTTGGCAGCCAATTCTAAAGCTACACAGCGGGTGAATTGATCTACACCCATTTTAGAAATGTTATAGGCCAAAACACCGGGGAAAGAGCGTATACCATTAACACTCGAAACATTAACAATATTGCCTTTAGATTTGATCAATTCAGGGGTAGCCAACATGGTTAAATGATACATGGAACGTAGATTGGTATTCATAACGCGATCATATTGTTCTAGGCTGGTGGTTTCGATACTGCCTGTCTCAATAATGCCAGCATTATTAACCAAAACATCCAGCTTATGTTGATGCTTTAAGGTATCTTGCCACAATTTGGCGGTGTCGGCCTCTTTAGAAATATCACCCACTACTAATTGAGGCTTGGTTTTACCCACTTCTTCACACTGTTTGGCCACCTTTTCCAAATTTTCAACATTACGTCCGTTTAGTGTAAGTATGGCTCCCAATTTGGCAAATTTAACGGCAGCGGCGGCTCCTATGCCCGAACTAGCGCCTGTTATCAAAACTACTTTGCCAGCAAAGTTCATATTGTTGCTAAAATATGCAGATACTTTGTGTATAAGAACAACAAATAAAAAATTAATTTAATTTTGTTTGTTACTTACGTTGCGTAATCGTTTAATTTGTTTTGTGTTCCCGGCGTGTGGTCCCCGCTATCAACAGTTTCCTACTGTGGTAAAAGTCGACGATTTAATATGTATTATGGATGTGATCGTCTGATTAAATTTTAAATATTTCTTTTTTTTTCTTGTATTGTCAATTTATTGTTGTCTTTTAGTTTATTTTGTTCTTTTTGTTTTGTTCTCATAAATCGGTTAGTTATCAGGTTTCTTTTTTGCTAATATAGCAGGGAAGAGAAATATTATTAGTAAAGTGGGCCCAATCATTATAACTTTCTGAAGACTGCTAATCATCACTTATTTCCTAAATATGAAAGAATAATTCGTTGTAAAACGTAAACAAATATTGTCAATCTATCCCAAGAAATATAAAGTAATTATCGGAAGTGCTTTATATAAGTGCTAATTACTTACGTTAGTACTTACTTCCTCAATATTTTCAAAATAAAATAATAGATTAAAAATCACAGGCACTCAAAATCAGTAAAATCTTTATTATACCTACATTACATATAATTACATACATATAATTATTAAACACATACAAATAATCAATTTATCTTGGACACATAGCATGACGGCCACCATCGACCGGCATATTAACACCAGTTATAAAGCTGGCCTTATCACTAGCCAAAAAACATATAACACCCGATACCTCTTCAACCTCACCAGCACGTCCCAAGGCATGAGTAGCTTTACAATGTTCCAACAATTTAGCATAAGCTTCTTCATCCATACCGCCACGTTTATGTAACTCGGTTACAATAACACCAGGATTAACCGAATTACAACGTACACCTGCTGCAGCCAATTCCAAAGCAACGCATCTGGTAAATTGATCTACAGCAGTTTTCGAAATATTATAAGCCAAAACATTGGGAAAAGCTCTCAAACCGCAAACACTTGAAATATTAACAATATTTCCTTTGGTTTTCTTCAGCTCCGGTACTGCCAACATGGTCAGTTGGTATAGCGAACGTATGTTTGTATTCATAACACGATCAAATTGTTCCAAAGAGGTATTTTCGATGCTACCATTCTCTATGATGCCGGCAGCATTTACTAAAACATCTAATTTCTTAAATTTGCCTATAGTCTCCTTAATAATATTTTCCACATCTTTCTCCTGGCACATATCCGCTTGTAATTGCAGATGATTGCTGGAGTTGACACATTTTTCAGCTGTTTCTTTCAACTTTTCGACGTTGCGTCCGACTAATACTAAATCTGCTCCTCGCTGGGCAAATTCTTCAGCTGTTGCTGCTCCAATGCCAGAACTGGCTCCGGTGATAAGTACAACTTTACCCTTAAAATCCATTTCCGTGTGGTAACAATAACAATTGGAATGTTATTAAATTAGTGTAGAAATGTGTTAAAAAAAACCGGTGTTATGACAGATATTTTCAATGTTATTGATGAAAGATTCGAATTGCCAGATTTGCATAATGTTGCCTAAATTTATGGGAAGTATTTTATTAGGAATTTATAATTTGTTATAGAAAATATTTCCGACGGAGCCAAAGCATTAAAGGAATTAATTCGATATAAAATTAACTCATCTTCCAAGAGAATACATTCTTAATTGAAATAAATTCAATTGAATAAAAATTTGTATCCTAAGGATCCATATTATTATTTTTATTTGTATTTCACAAATTTATAACTGATATTCAGAAGTTTTGGGGGAAACTTTCATACTATTTTTTTATCAAACTTTATACTGAAATAAAGTATGATAAAACAGATCTCGAATTAGTTCAAACTTTGAATTTCAAAGCTTAGTTAAATCCTAGTATCAGAAATACCACTTAAATATATCATTCACTTCAGGTGGCCACACTAAAATCAAAATATTTGTGTTTGTTTACATTTAACAACAGTGTGTTTAGAATAAAATGATTTTTAATTTCTTATTAGAACTTTCATGATCATTTACCCTTGAAACTACCCTATAGAAAAACACCGACTACTTAAGTAGTCGGAGATCAGAATTCTAATCTCAACAGTTGCACACAGTGTCAGAGTGATTGGAATACTTGAGAATTTGTCCATCAAAAATACGTAATTTTATACCAAATATGGATTTTACTGACAAAGTTATTATTGTTACTGGATCCAGTTCTGGAATAGGTGCAGCGGCCGCAGTACATTTTGCCGAATTGGGCGGCTTGCTAACCTTAGTGGGACGCAATGTCGATAAACTACAAGAAGTAGCAAATAAGATTCAAGCCATTAAAGGTCAGGCACCCCTAACTGTCCAGGCCGATATGGCCAACGAGGAGGATGTTAAACGTATTGTCAGCGAAACGTTAGCTAAATATGGTAAAATTGATGTACTTGTTAATAATGCTGGTGTTTTGGAGACCGGCACTATTGAAAATACCAGTTTGGAACAGTACGATCGTGTTATGAACACTAACATAAGAGCCGTTTACCAACTAACCATGTTGACTGTGCCAGAATTGATAAAAACTAAAGGTTCCATTGTTAATGTGTCTAGTGTTAATGGCATACGCTCTTTCCCTGGAGTTTTAGCTTATAATGTCTCCAAAGCAGCTGTTGATCAGTTTACACGTTGTGTTGCTCTTGAATTGGCTCTGAAGGGTGTACGTTGTAATTCTGTTAATCCTGGTGTTATTGTTACTGAAATTCACAAGAGAGGTGGCATGAATGAGGAAACATATGCTAAATTCTTGGAACATTCTAAAACTACTCATGCCTTGGGTCGTCCCGGTCAAGTGGATGAAGTTTCGGGTGTTATTGCATTTTTGGCTAGTGATAAGGCCAGTTTCATTACTGGCGCTAGTTTGCCTGTCGATGGTGGACGTCATGCTATGTGTCCTAGATAAGAAGTGGTAAATTTTTGTTATTGTTTAAAAGAAATGCATTTGCTATTGTTGTTATTTAAATAAATTGTTAATTTGCGTAAATTTTAAAATTGATTGATATTAATTAAAAAGAAATAACGTTTTTTTTTTTGTAAATTTTATTGAGCATCAAATAATTGATCTTTATTTTATAAATCTATAGATTTTATAAGCACAGGCCAACACAATTTTAAAATAAAGACCAAAGTAGTCATTTCTAAAGCAATAAGCTGTTTTAAATCCGAATGTAGACTCCACCACATGACTTTTTCGAAATATGTTCTGTTCCAAAATGAAAAATCTCAATTTCTGAATTGCAAATTTAAAATCTATTCTGAATATTAAATTAAAAGACTCATTGCAATTGAGTTTTTCTGAATTCTAATTCCTTTAATTTCCAAAAAATTCTCATTATCAAATGATCTTTTCTGTATATCAAATGAAAAATCTCATTTACTATTCAACTCTTCTGAATTACTGATGATTATGGTGTAAAATGAAATTGCAAATCAAATTGCAAAATAACTTTTGATACCTATAAGATCTATCTTCGTTGCCACAGTTACCTATAAATCGCTTCCCTTGGTACAAAAAAATTACAAATTAAAGTGTTAAAAATAATTAACAAGTTCAAGAATTGTTTTTATGTTTCTATGTGTAATTATTGTAAAAAAGTGAAGGTTGCTAAATGCACAAAAAAGGTAATAATTTGACATCGAAAAATCTGTTAAGATTTTTTACAATCGCTGCTGTTTGCGATATTTTATAGCCTTATCAATAGTCTATTCTATAATGTAGTCCATAGTATGGTCTATAATCTAGTCAATAGTACATAATCTAGTCCGGACCACATCCTAGTCTATAATCTAGACTATAGTCCATAGTCTATTCTATAGTCAAGACTACTATTTACTCTATAATCTATTCAATGGTATAGTCTATAATCTAGCCTAGACTATGATGGGTCTATAATCTTTTCCAAAGTAGTCTATAATCTAGTCAATAGTCCATATTCTAGACTATAGTATAGTCCAGTCTACTATATAGTCAAGACTATTGTTTAGTTTATAATCTATTTCACAGTCTGGATCTTAGTCTAATTCTAGTTATAATCTTGTCAATAGCCTAGACTATATGCAGTTTAGCCTAGTCTATAGTGTAATCTAGTCGATAGTCGAGACTTAAGTTTGTGTTGTTTCTAGATAACGTGCGAGTAGTTTGAGTTGAAATTTTACTTGTACCTATTTTGTTTTTTGTTACAATACAAATTAAAATTTGTACTCAAACTACTCCCTCGTTATCTAGAAAGAGCACATTAGTCTATTCTATAGTCTTGTCATAGCCACTAGATTATAGTAGTGTACAAAACAATCTATCCATATCCAATAATAACACCAAAACCACTTAGGGCTACAGAAATTTGTTTTAACTTATTTTTTTATTAAAAACATATGGGCCTTTTTGTTCTTGACCGTCCCTTATTTTTTTCATATTTTTTCTCAAAAAAATACAAGTTCTTTCAATAAAAAAAACCTATTTTCACACAACTAAATTATATAGAAAAAAGTATATAATACGAAATCTAACATTCGTAACCATAGGACTTGATGATCTTGTTGAAGGGTTCGGCTTGCTTGGCAATGTTTTCGCGAGCCTTGACAGTCAACTTCTTCATGAGTCTGTTGTGTTTCAAAGTGACTTGCAACTTAGCCTTACGTTTGCGTTCCAAACTCTTGACGACATCACCGTGGTGCCAGCCGACTTCGTTGGACAAACGGCCCAATTGACAGTATTTGCGGTCAGAGCGCAAAGTCAAGATGCGCATAGCGATGGGTACGCAGACACGACGACGCTTATCGTAGGGCGATGGGATACCATCGAAGACACGGAGACGAGCCAAAGCAGCTTGACCGCGCTTGGTTTTGTGTGGGATCATGCCTGTAAATAGAAATACAGAAAAGGGGTTAATGTTTTTTCTTTCTTTTAGAATCGTGTAATAATAGATTCTTTAATAGCGGACTGTTGTCAGTTTCAAGTTTGGTTTCATGTTTTCACATCAAATAATGTAGGTAAGAAAATTTTGTTCATCATGTTAGATTGGCCCTTGTTGGCAACTTAGGAATATGGTTTTGTTGTATTGTTTACATACCTAAAAAGAAAAGAAGAGAGATTCATTTAAACATTTGTTTTGCTTGTGGTGTTAATATATTTATGATAATATTTATAATCAGTTAAAGATTTGTTACATATTTTCGAATTCAAATAATGTAGGTAAGATAAAATTGTTCATCATTGAAGAGTTTAAAAAGTGCTTCTTAATGAAAGTTGAAATCAAGTTTGTGAAATATTCTTTTAAAACATTTCTTAGGTTTTTTTAGGACAATTAAGAAAAATATAAAACATTTAGTGTCGCATTTTTAGGATCATCCAAAACAATAACTGGATTTTCAACAATTACAAAGTGGCTAAAAACATGATAAAACTCCACCTGTTGAAGCATTAAAACAAAATGCTTTTAGTAGCGCTTGAGGACTAATAGCAAACTAAAAGTTGCCCTTACAGAAATGACCTTGAATGTAATAGCATCTTTGTTTACTAAACAAACAACATGAAATTACAAGGTTACCAAAGCCAAAGTTGAAGCCTCTGGTTTGGATTAACAATTTGTTGATCTCCAACTTTCATTTAAAACCACATTTTATTCATTACACACTAAATTGTTACTAAAATTCTAAAGAAACTTACCTCTAACAGCCTTGTAGAAGATTCTGGAAGGGGCACGGAAGTGGAATGGACCACGGGCAGGGTTGACATTGCAACGTTTGCGCAAGTAAGCCAAGTACTTGATCTTGTTTCTGTAGAAATGACCAGAAAGGTTCAATTCTTCGCAACGGACAACAGCAACTTTGCCACCTTGCAACAAATATTTGGCAACAACGGAAGCCAAACGGCCGACCAAATGGCCACGACCATCAATAACAACGGCCTAAAAATGAAAAACAAACCATGAAATATGTTTTCACTAAATTGAGGTTAGGTTTTTTTACAAACAACAAAACACACATAAACAAATGCTGCAACTTAGCAAATTTTACTATTTGCTTATTTAAAATTATAACTTTTTACATTAATTAACAGAATTTAAACACTTTTGGTTTTATTTCACTTAATACAAGAGTATTTTCTGCTTCCCATTTAACACCAAACAATTTTCTATACATTTAACCAAATGCTTGATACAATGTCACTTTTACAGCACGTGTAAGTTGTGGTCGTAGTTTTTATGGAATTTTTCCATTTTTTCTTTAAAAATCTTGGGAATTTTTACACACATTTATTTTATCATTTGTTTAGGCACGTTTTTATTTAGTTTTCTACTAATTTTTCTCATTAAATTGGTGATTTTTCATAAATTTATCACCACTTACCCTATTCGTTAAACCAGTCATGTTTAAGAACCGCACGGAAAGAAATGGACGAGCCTCGGTTGCTTTGGGCGGAAACGGCCATGTTGAAATTTTGACATTTCACATGCTTGCGCAAGCATTTAAATGTCAATTTGCATACAGTGTTGCATGTAAAGCAAACAGAGTTGTATTTAAACTATTAAGAATATGACATCCCCGTTTTACAGCCGGCTAATTCGAGCAGAGACTTGCGCCGATTCGGCTTAAGCCGACTAAGCCTAGCCGCCGAACAAAATGTCAAAGCCGCCGCCGCCGAAAATTTTTCAGCTTAATACGGCTTGAAATTTTCGCCATATTTTGTACAATTTACAGAAAACTTTCGCTAAATTTATGGAATTTTACAATATAAAATTAATTTGTTTTCATTAAAGCAAGTTTTTTTTTTATCTAATAATAAGCCGCTCATTGAAATTTGACCGGTGTAGAACTTTGCTCACGTTGAGCACTTGATTTACTTGCGTCTGTATCATCAATAATGGCAAAATAACTTTAGAAGAAATGAGGAAATGAGTTTGGATTCGAATGAATATTATTTCATTTCGAATGCCTGTTTTTAAAATTTTACAGGAGAAGCATAAAACTATTTAAGTTAAAAAGTTTGTTTCTATCAACGCGATTTATTTGTAGTAAATAAACAAATTATTTAATAGTGAAACATATAATTTGTTATTATAGTTGACAATGGCGTATATAAAAATGGATAAATTTGACTTTTTACCTTTAATATTTAAATATTTTTGTAGATAGGGCCTTTTGTTTTTTGTCAATAAAATCGATAATTATGGCCGCAGCAGTTGAATTTTTGGTGTGGACATTTGTTTTGATGCAATACATTAGAACCAACAATAAAATCGATTTTGAATTTTTGGTTAGTTAGGGCAGTTTGCGTTTCAGGTGACGATACGAATGCATGTATATTGGAATCAAAGGTTAATCATATTAAATTGCCCTGAAGAAGAGAACCATTGAATTTAGACTCTATGATGAGTTCGTTGAATTTTGGTTCACCCTGGATAGTGTAAGGAAAAGCAAGAAATAGTTCCAGTTGTAATAGTGTACAATGTAATACTGCTGTGACGTCTATTACAGTTGCTTTGTTTGCAGGTTTGTTGTAAGGTCAGAAAATGACTTTAACGTGCATAACTAACATAAAAAATATAACACGATCGAGTTTTATATCAATCAAAATCTATATAGGCCAATATTGACCCTGCCCCCCATATAAGGTCACCTTCAATAATTGGTTTTAACGTTTTTTACGGACTTAATAATACCATAATAAAATAAGTTTTGTTGAAACGAAAATGTATCTACCAAATTTTATGACGAAGCATTATTCACCTTAAACCCATATGAGATATTCTTCAGAAAAAAACGCACAAAATTGCTTTTAAATGTAGATGTAATAATGGAATTCGACGAAAAAAAAAACTTTTTTAGGAACCGAAAAATATATTTATGAAACCTAAAATTATGAGGATCAGTCGGCCAATATAACCCTCTTACAGAAAATCAATTTATACTATACATTTTTATAGCTATTACATCATTCCAAAAGTTGAGCATTATGATAGAATTATGGTAGAATTAAAAAAATATACTTTAAATATGGAGATCTTGGTCCATAATTGATCCAATCCCTCATTGAAGTCCCTATTACGAAAATCACGCTGGCGTTTATATTAATTTAAAGATCAAAGTTCATATACATATATGAGCACTTCCCAAATTTGCTTTTTTACGACATATGTTTTGATGATAATATATGACTTGAACTCTTTGTGAAAGTACTCGTGAGTTTCGAACTTAAATTTGAATTTTAAAATACCTACGGTTATTTCACTGTGTGGTTTTGACTATTTACGCGTAACGCTATGGATTTTCTGATGTTAATTTAATAATCAAGTTAAAATCTGCGTATCACGTCGAAATGGCATATTTTATATTTAAAATTAACTGGATTAACGTATTGAAGACGAATAATGGGTTTCGGAAATATATTTTTTTGTCCTTTCAAACGAGAACACTTTTGTTTACTGAAGTTCCCACCGAAAATGAAAGTTTAGTTCATTATAAGATATCGTTTCCCAAAATTTTTGTCCTTTGGCCAATATTTGGTGATCTGGATCAAATAATAAAAATTAACTTTTTTAAAGTTTTTGCTATTTTATTTATATTTCACGTAAAGGATTTAATTTTGATATTATGTAAAAGGTCTTTGAGAGGCTATTTTAATGACGTATTACAAATTTTTCATAAAGTTAAAAACAACAAATTAAAATGTTATTTAGATTATTAAAAATTTTATTAAGGGTTTTCATTTAAGCGCTTAAGTTTCCCATTTGTGCAAGTGTGCAAGTTTATTCGACTTGTTTCATGAAACCCCTGTTCAAATTCTGTTCAGTTACAATATTTGTAAACATTTAAAAACTATGTGAAACGAAATTAAAAAATAAAAAATTAATTATTTAAACAAAAAGTATAAAAAATACATTTTAAATGTGAATATTCAAGTGCTTAAGTTAAAAAGTGGTCAATACAGAGCGATTTTATTAAATGCACAATGAGACTGTTCAAGTTTGCCAGTCTAAATAGTCGCTCAAATTTATAAGGGTTGTGCAAATCAATTCCCATACAATTCAATTCCGAGAATGGAAACATGCACAGGTTGCACAGTTTGCGAGGGTTTTGAACATTTAAATGAGAACCCTTATTATATAGATTACACTATGCGGCAAAAATAAATACCTGGAAAAATATAGGCCGATCCTCATAAAACTTGGCGAAAGGATTTGTTTTTAATTTTTAAGAATTAATCAAATTTATTTTTTTTTTAACTTTTTTAAATTTTTTCTATTCCTGCATAATTTCTCACAAAACTTTTGTGCTTGCTCTGTTTTGTTGTTATAAACAATATATTTGCTTAAAAAATCCCACTTTTATCTCTCGGACTCCGTTTTTATTTAAAATCGTTGAAAATTTAAAAATTAAACGTATTTGAGAACCTACAGTCGATTTTAAGCCGCCGCCGATATTTTTAGTGTCAGCCGCCGCCGCCATAGTGGAGAAAAACAAACAAAAAGAAAATCCCAAACAAGTTGACAATTTAAAAGGAACAAGAAGATAAAAATTTGCTACAAAAATCGGCTTTCTTCCATAAAAATTTAAAAAAAATTATTAATTTTTACTAATTTTAAATTGTTTATAAAGTGTTATTAATAAAATTAAATTGTTTATTGCTCAATTGTTTATAAGGTACATAATTGTTTGGTGTTATTTTGTTAAGAGGAGAAATGTTTTGCAATTTTATTTTGACCACTCCCCATATAAAGAAAAACAAGTGCATTTTCTTTTTTGGTGTTGTTGCTATTGTTGAGTGTATTATGGTGGCAGGTCTTTGTTATCTTTTTATACATTTGGCCTAAAAAATTTTATTTTTTACTTTATAAAATTTTAGATGACTAATCAATTGTAATCTTATACATTAAAATATCACTATTAATAATACCATTGTGTTGTATTGTATTTGTAGTAACGTTTAATTCTTTGGCAAAAGAGTAAAAAAGAAATTTTAAGTGAAAATGTGGAAAGCCACTGCTGGTTTGCAAATACAAAATACCGCTGATGCTGAAGATGATGACTGGGAGACGGATCCTGACTTTATTAACGATGTTAGTGAACAGGAACAAAGATGGGGTGCCAAAACCATAGAGGGCAGTGGTCGTACGGCCGGTGCTATAGAGTAAGTTTTATTTTTACTATTGTATTAATACCCACAAATAATTAAACTGTTTTTCTTCTTAAGTATGGATAAACTGCGTGCGGAAACTGAAAAAGCAGATCAAGATAAAAAACGCAAGGAAATTGAAGAAATCAATCCCGGCTATGGTTATGGTGGTAAATTTGGTGTACAGACCGATCGCATGGACAAATCAGCTGTGGGTCATGACTACCAGGGCAAGGTAGAGAAACATGCCTCTCAAAAAGATTATGCCACTGGCTTTGGTGGCAAATTTGGTGTCCAGTCTGATCGTGTAGATAAATCCGCTGCCGGTTGGGATCATATCGAAAAGGTGGAGAAACATGCCTCACAAAAAGATTATGCCACCGGATTTGGTGGCAAATTTGGTGTTCAATCTGATCGTGTGGACAAATCTGCAGTTGGTTGGGATCATGTGGAAAAGGTGGAGAAACATGAGTCACAAAAAGGTTGGTTGTTTATTTATAGATTATAAGGGGGTCTTATAATAGCTTGTTTTCATTTTGTTTTTTTTTGTCAGATTATTCCAAAGGTTTTGGTGGTAAATTTGGTGTTCAGGAAGATCGCAAAGATAAATCCGCTGTGGGTTGGGATCATATTGAAGCACCGCAAAAACATGAAAGTCAAGTGGATCATAAAATTGTGAGTAACAAAAGAAATTTGTTTTTTTTTTTATCACAAATTCAATGTACTTTTCTTTTTGTATGACAAATTTGTTTATGTTTGCAAATTTAAGTCTGCTTGTAAAATGATGAAGGGATATCAAAACCATAAAAAACTTTGTTACAAGTTTATATTGCTATCTGCAAACAAAAACTAAAGATGACTAATATTTGTCGATTCATTTTAGACACACTTCTTTCCCTTCCCAGCTCTAAATGAATATATAATTATGAAACAGTTTTATTCATAAATTAAAACATTCGGTTATAAAAAATTTCTATAATGAAATGCATTTATTTTGATGAAATGGAGCATGTTCGATTCGATCAAAACCAAAAAAGTGTTTTGGTTGGGGCTTGTGGGAAAAACAACTCTTTTATTAAAAAATATCTTTTAAAACAATCTCATTAATGGTTCTCTGTTGAAAATTTAGGGTTTTAGTTAACATTTTTTATTGAAGTTTCGAACATATTTAAACTTCCAAACTAGTTCTTTTTTTTTAGTACTTTATAATATCTTCTTTACTTTATCTCTTCACCAGGGTTTCGGCGGCAAGTTCGGTGTACAAAAGATCGTATGGATAAATCGGCTGCGTCCTACGATGATGGTGGTAAACAACAAGTTGGCACAAAT